AGACACTGGTTTTTCCATTCTCACTTACGTCTAAAATCAGGTAATTTAAAGTAAAGGCTCGTTTGTAGATTTGAATTGAGGAAAAAGGCAAAAAGACACCTATTCCATTTAGAAACATTCTGCACGAATTGACTAGTACACATTATATACAGTACACCTTCCACTCTGGGCGGAGCTGACCTTGTCCTGAACTTTCTCATCGCCATCCAAATGCTTGAGGCAGTTGCTACAGGCAGGTCCTTAACGGCGCCCTCAAAGGAAGCATGGTAGCATTTGATGTGTTATGACAGTAGTTTCGAAGTTTCAAATAATTTGTTACGTTCTTTAAACACAGAAAACCTTTGCTAATGAATAAATACACGAAAACTAAAGTAATTGTTTCATTTTATTTTTCTAAATTTTGAAATTTCTAACTTAAATTGAAGTAGAAGATGTACCAAAATGATAACTTTCAGGTTATTTTTGACCTTTGGTTCGGATTAGCTAGTGACTTTTTAAAATCACTCACAAGATCTAAAGAACTTTCTACAGAACTGACATCTTCTATCATCCTCTGTAAAAGTCCCAAAAGCCGTGATATTAAACACGTTATTCGAGTTTCAAGCAATGAGGAATTTTTATAAGAAATTACACGAATTGTTTTTGGATTTTCATGACCAGCTTTTGAACTTTGGCTCAATTGAAAACATTTTGCAGAGCTCGTTTCCGAAGAAAACAGAGACCATAAATGAGCAATATTTGAAAAGTTAAAAATGATAACGAATTAAATATACTAGCAGTTTGTGATATCACTTAAATTTGAATTCTTTAAAGCTTATATGCATCTATAATGGGAGCACTTCAGGATTCTTGAGGACGGTGTGATTACAGGTTTCAATTAAAAAAAATTGTTTATATCTTACGGAATTTCCCGTTTGCTTAAGCCATTGCACACCGCATGCACTTGCAACAACCTCATGTCACCAGATCGCCCAATTTACATAGGTTTTTCGAGGCAATCTCTGTATATTCTGCCTTTTTTGGTATCGTGTTATGGTTTATGAAATAATTTGAACAAATACTTCAAAAGTTTTATTTGCACTCATAACTTATGGCTTTGTTAGGCCGTAAAGCACAAAAATATTCTTGTGTAGATCTTTAAATTATTCACTAATTCTACTACAAATATTTTCTAACTGAAAGAACCAAAGACAGAGGCTATTATAAAGAAACTACTTCACAAAAGCCAAATTTGAACGATGCGCCTCAGTCGGCGTAAGTTTCTTTGAGGGGGAAGCGCACGGTATGCATTTGCACAAGTGAGCGACGAAGTCTGCTCGGCTACATCTTTATTTTGAGGTATATACAATTATCTTAAAAGTTAATTGCTGACTCAAACTTTAAAATTACCGGTACTTGTACCATAGTACGTTACAACACATGTATCCTTTTAAAGACGTTCTGCATCGTTTTACTTTTAGCATAGGTCAGGACACAGAAGTTTTTACAAGTCCCACAACCTGGGACAGCCAAATCCGTGTTCTCTATTTATTCTTCAAAAGCAGCACCTCCAGAAATACACTCCATAACTTTATTCCATAGCTTCAATAGGTCACAGCTATCGGAAAAGTGAAAACTATTAAAGCAGCTTGATAAGCGCACTTGATACATACAACTGCAAAATTCATACAAGTATGCACAAATCCTATAAAAAATCTCATCCATGAAAGGTAAAACGGCTGAGACATCGATTACAAGTTGCAAACTGTAAACTAAAATTCAAGCTACTGTAAACAACAAAGTTAGTAGGAATATTTGTAAACGAATCCTAACACATTATAACTGCTTTGAGTTCAGTGGTTCTTGAGAAAGGATTTGAGTTTGCAGCACTGACTGCTTACCCTGGGCTTTCCATTCCCTCGTATGATTCCAATCAATGAAAATTGCCGCTAAACATATTCAGGTACAGTATAAAAGGAGGGATAAACTGTATTGACTCTGACTTGCTGTTAATATCGGCCAGATGTAAATGGAAAGACGTTTCCGGAAATGGTACGCCCACGAAGCCAGGTTGAATCTAGCAGTAACAAAAAGATAATTAGAAATAAGATAACAAAATAACGTAAGAATAGTTGACCTCATTAAATAAAGGAATGTTATAAATCACGGTATGTACAAGGAGAATATGTCACAAAGCACATTCCAAAAAGATTAGGATCAAAAAGAAAGCTAAAAGAAAATATATGGTCAGACCCAAAGTTAAATCTCTGTCTAAATCAACAACTTAGTTACCTTAAACAGCTCGACTTCTACTTTATAAGTTGCAACGGAATTAGAAATGCTCTTACAGAAGAGAAGTTAG